CATAGTGCGTAAACTGTGGAGAACTGACATTCTTTAATTGAAGGCATTGATTGCATTTGCAGGTAGTACGAATGTACGATATTTATATGACAGGCTGTTGGTCACAAAAAAACGCAATAAACTTCGGTCGAAACATCTTGAGGGAAATAAAAAATTAAAAAAATCAAGTCGAAAGTTGTTTTCCGTAGCGATCTATCACATCCAATCCGCCATGTCGATCGCGTTGTGACAGTTGGAGGTGATGGGACCGTACTACAAAGCTAGTAGTCATTTAATGAACGGCTCGATTCTGACCCCACACAGCCGGACGAGGTTTTGTGTTTAATCGAGGCTTTACTTTGAGTCGCTTAATTTATTGAAGTTCATAGATTAAAATAATTTATCTACTTATACGTATAATTCTTTCATTAATAGGATCATGAAAAATGGGATGCCCTATTTCCTATTTACGACATTCTAGATCAAGCGGTCTACAAGTCTCAACAGTTGCTGGATCAACGGCTGCAATGCATTTAGCTGGCGAATCAACAATGCTCGTTTTATCCAACGAGCTCCAATACATGGTAAGGGGAGCCTATTTCTCCGGGTCCCACCTTACCCTCTATGCACGGGTTCGTAAAATCTGACGAGGCAATTGATATTTAAGTGGTTTTGCAAAAGAACGGCTATTGTATATTAATGGTTCTAATGTGGTTCATCATCCTATTTGGCATGGAGATTATATCGAACTTTCTTCAAGTCTATTCGCCACCTCACTCGTTACCCCAGAATGCATGAACCAAAAGTGTAAAAGGAAATACACGTTTTCTTTTTTCGTTTTTCTAAATTATGTAGTGGATGGAAACTTGTGATTGCATAGTATTCGCAAAGTAATTATGCTAAAGCTGATATTACATTTCAATTACGTATGGACAGCTAAAACTCATATTCGATGTCCAACTTTTGGTACCCCGAAATTCGTAACGAGTAAATTGGCAACACGAAAAAGTCCATTTTGTGAGCAATCTACAATACTGGTATTTGCACAAAGTATGCACCTGGAAAATACCTTAAACACAGCCTTACTCATTTCTACACAAGGGCAGAAATAAACGAGAGGTACCATTCGTAAATTGGAACCACACAACGATAATTGCCATACCTCAAGTGGCCACTCCCCTAAATCGCAATTTCCTCATTGCTGTAGTTGTGCCTTTTTCTTTAACTTCATACGAATGTAGAAAGCAACTACAAACTGGAAAACCAAAAATGGATTTAAGTAGTTTAAAAAATTGCAATAGTTATTTAAAGTTGACTTACGTGAACAATTGAGTTCGATTACGGGAGAGCTGAGGTCGCTTTATTGGTGAAAGAATAAGGTTTCTTAGAGTCATCGAAGGATTGCCAGCTGGCCCAGCTCCATTGCCAACTCCGAAAGAAGATCGAGCGTTGGGCATTCTGTTTCCAGCTTCCATTGGAATTGCCGACTGTTTTGCAGGTGAGCCGCCAGAAATATCGAATGTAGAATTAGAATTTTGTCTTGCTGGCCACATATCCTCTCTCGGCCCTGGAGTGTCAGGAGTGTGAATCGACCAATCTGCGATAATTAAGTTAACCAGTATCTTTTGGACACAATTCAATTAAAAAAAAAATTAATAATATATATATTTTTTTTAAATCATAGAGAAAGAAAGGTGCGTAGATAATCAATATTTAGGCTGTAAACTCAAATTATGATTGAGTAGTTAAAAATTGACAGGGTTACCTTTCCTAATAGAATCTCTGTTATCCATTCTATTAGATGGATTTGAGAACAAATCAGGATCTTGTCTGGAGAAAGAGTGGTTTACAGGCTGAATGGCTGATCGCTTCAATGAATCAATTTCAGTTCTTGCTAGGTCGTACATTTCATCGAGTTTCCTCTTCTGCCTGGAAGTGATTTAAAAAAAAAGCGTTATTAAATTTTGGGTCGATATTGCAATGAACAAAGATGAAGAAACCATTACTTAACCTGCACTTCTCTGCAAATTTTTCTTGAAGCTCTTGCTTGTCTTTGGACAAGCTCTCCAATTCTTGCTCCATCATTTGGCACCTTTTGGTCATTTTCTGGTAGGCGGTGTAAATCTGCTCCAGTTTCTCCGTGAATTTCTCTTGCATTGCCTCGCATTTCTGCCGGCACTGACCTACTACTTTGTTCATCTTGACTTGCATCTCTAAATCCTTTTGCCCGATATAAAATGTCACACTTCTGTACGCACTCTTCATCACTGGAAAAGGTTTAGGAAATACAAACAGGGACACGGGCTAAATGTTTACATGCTAAACCAGATGTATTCGGAAAACAGTTTATGATGAATTGCAACATTGAGGATACGAATCTGAGGAGATACTCCAGCCATGGCCATCTGCAGAAGAGAAGAATGTTATGATTAGAAAGTGTTACGAGCATTTTGCGTGATGTTATGAAAAAAAAAAAACAAAGCTGGTGAGAGGAGAGAAGAGGAGGAGGATATTATAGGAAAGTTTTCTTACATTTACCCACTCGTCATTTGGATTGATTTCGACGGGCTTCATAAGACTGACACACACAAAAAATGTCATGTCAAAATCAAGTGAAGTCATATATATGCCTTAGATAACAAGTATACATGTCGTAAAAAAGGACAAATTAATCAAGTTCTAACAAAGAAATAAAAAGAATCCATTTTGATATTCTTCCCAGCATAAGCAGAAAAAAATCGAGTTTTCAGAACAACTATAATATATCACATTTCCGTGACAAAACTGGACCAATCCTTTAGTTAACATACCTGTTGAGTCTTGAAACTCTTAACAATTAACAGTTCTTTGAGAATTTATAACCAGAGTGCGAAACAATATTTGAATAACATAATACCTTTTGGACAGCACTTGATCACAGATGGGGCAAGCACCATCATTGCTGAGAATCTTATTGGCATCTTCAGGGCCTTTTGAGGTAATTAAGGAAATCATACAAATCGACCAAAAATAAAGAATCTACGAAGAATATATATGAACAATTTAAATGTATTTAATGCATGGTGGATACACAAGAGGTGACCACAGGTGGTGGTAATAGCTCGCCCTTCCAATTCTCGCCAGCAAGCATTGCATCTCATTTCAGCCTTCAGAAATATTATTTTACATTCATTTTCCTATACACAGAAAAAAAAAGGAAGTTGTGAAAATATCCTTTTTCCCCTCTACGTCTGGATTTTCTATAATGCAATGTACATTAGAATGACCTAAAAATTCAGAATACAAAAAATCGATGCGTTAAAAGAATAATCATGGATAATAAGGCGAAGTATGAGTCTTTTTTTCTAAACAGAATTAATATTATTAAAGAGAAGCAAGAACGAAACGAGAACCAAACCAATCTCAAGGCCTATAGTACCATGTTCCTACTCGATCCAGTCTAAGCTTCGTGATAATGTACAAAACTAAAGTATGAGTCTCCACCAATTAAATACTTAAACTGCTCCTTTCGCTTCCAAAGCACTCAGTCAACCGAATCGACACTCTAGCATAATCTAAAGCCTCAGTTTAAAACATGCCATCCATGGATAGACTGTCACTACCATAAGCATTCCATAACCAAATCAATTTATTCTCCGGGGATAGCTGTTCATCTTAATGTTTTCGAGCAGTTCCCGACCAAGCACAAATTTTAATAAGAGGGAATCTTCGGTATCCTCAAATTAATACGTTTCTCCACAAAAGGCTAAAGTGATGGACTGGTTGTAAATCACCGAAAGAGATTTTCTAAATGCTGTCAGTAATTTTAGATTTGAAATTGACAATTAATTTACATAAAGTGTGAGTCTACCAAAACATACAGAGGAAACGAGTCTTTCTTACTGAATTACGGCAACTGAAGATGCTTCTACACAGAATTTACCCAATAATCATGGTTTAAATCAAACAAAAATCACTAAATTCAAGTCACCAATACCAGATAGAAGCATGATACTGTTTTTCTATAAGCTAGTTAAGTCAAATATTAGAGTAATTCTCTGGAAAAACGAGGAAAATAAATCACGAGACATTCCCCAGAGTCGATTCTACGATTTATACGAACATTAAACAATAAATAGGCAAAATAATTCCTTTTTACCCGAAATATATCACAAAAACCCTAGATTTATTCGGAAAAAATCAGGCAAACAAATAATAACCAGGTCGATAAATACTCCACATTTTCCAGAAAATCCAACCATTAGAACCGCAATTAACATCAAACAAGAGGAGTTCGTACCTAAAAAGCCAAAAGTTCTTCACAGAACGAGAAAATGAAAATTCCGAACTCGAAGCCGATCAACTGCAACTGATACGAGAAGCTGAGTCCGAATTCCGCAAAAAAAAATCCGATCGCGTGCGTACAGCTTCGGAAATTGCCAGTGAGATCGGAAATTTGATTAATCGTGGATTCCAGATACTGAAGACCGTGGCGCTTATCGAATTTATTCTTCGATAGGTAGAGAGAGATCTCTACAAACCCTAGCCGAAAATTTCAAAGAGAAAAATTGGCAGAAATTCCCAAAGATTAGTCTGATTATGAAAATAGCGGGAAAATTTGGGTTTCTTATACTTAGCCAACTTTACCGTTTGAGACCGACGTAAGAATAAGCATAGATTAATTATGTATTTCTTTTCTCTCTCTCCCAAATTAATTATGTGTAATTTTTTAATATTTTTTGTCCTATGACTCGAGTACAACTGCACATCTTAAGGACCATTTTGTAATTTCTAAAAAGTTAGAAGCATGTTTGATCAGCAAGTTTCAAATATTTTTGTTGCCTACATAATTGATTACAAGATTTAAGGATCAACTACAAATTGATAGTTGATAATAATATTTGTTTTGAATATATTTGTATGGAAATATTAAAAAAAAATTATATATAAATAAAAATTTATACATGTTTATGTAACATATTTATAAATATATCCCCATACTTTTAATATTTATACTTTATCACCAAGTCCTTAGTTTTTTTTCTTCTTGTGTCCGTTCTTCGCCTCATTGACGAAAATTACGATTCTTTTGAAAATATTAGAACTATTGTAAATTCCAAAATTTCCGAAACTCTTGGAATCATTATGGATTCTAGATTCCAAATGAAATTGGAAATGGTTTTGTGCTTCAGACCTAATTTTGATCTGTTTCGTCCTACTTTCACCATTTTATACAATACTATACAAAATTACTAACCAAACCCCAATTAATTCCAGTTTCATGAGTAAACCCCAAACCCCTCTTCTCTAAGATTTTGAATAGCAAATTATGGAGTCCACAAACTAGACCAATGTTTTAAAACTCGGATCATACCGGCTAGTTGAATCGGTTGAACCTGACCAATGTTCTATTACCCTGTCCAGTTTCGCCGGTTGAACTGTAAAAGCAGAATTCAATTGAAAATTAGGGTTTTACCATAAATAGTGCATTTTGTTTTAATTTAATTTTTTTTGCTAAAACAAGGTCGTGGTAAACATGTGTTTATTATTTAGATTATAATTCCTATAATCTTTGAAGCGATTGGGTTGTGATATATGTATGTCGATATGTTGTTTGCTTATGTATGTGTATGTCGATATGTTGTTTGCTCATATGTATGCGAGTGTTTAAAATATAGGCTTTGTTTACTATATAAATTCAATATAAATAATTATAAAATAAAAAAATAAAAAAAACTCGTTTGAACCGGTTCAACCGTGACCGAATAGTTTGTCCGCGTCAATATCAATTTTCAAAATATTGCTATTAACTTATAAGGATTGATAGAACTTCAACAAAAATTCCTTGATTTTTTCTAACTTTTTTTTTTCTTTTCATTTTATTTATATGAGGTCACACTATTGAATTATTGCCTTGTGTGTTTCTCTGTGTTTCTTATAAATTGACTGATATGCTAAATCTCACACCAATTTTACCAAATCATATACACAATTGAAATTTTTTTTCTCTCTCAAATCTCATCTTCTCTTTCCCCACCGTTCTTCTTTTTCCCTAAATTTTTCACAAAATCACACACTAAAAACGTTCGTATCATTCCAAGTTCGAATTTGAGAAAAATCTTCATGTGCTCAAACTAAAATAAAATTGCAATTTGAGAAAAAAATTCAAATTGATATGAATTTAAATAATTAAAAAGGAATAATAAAATTGAAAAATATTAAATAAACCTAAACTCACTTTTTATAATTATTCACGTGAAAGATTAACAAGTTTTGAGTGACTTTGGAAAAAAATATCATAGAAAAAAGTTAGAGAGAATCTAAATAGAGAGATTTTTTTTAATTTATGTGTGGATTTAGTAAATTTTAGTGTGAGATTTAACATGCCCCAGAATTTATTGGACCACATGGTCCTCTTTGTTCACGGTCTAAATGAATTAATGAATAGTTACCTAAAATGTGTACGGAGTGTATATTATTTCCCGGCTACTAATTACTAATAACACAAATTAGTACTAAAATATATTTATGGTGTTAGAAAGTCTAGTCATATATTTGCCTAAAACTCTATATGTTGTTGGGCTCACCATATGAATTCATTTCATTATGTAACACTTCATGACTTCAACCACCTTTGTATTCTTTGTCCCTTAACAATTATTTATTTTTATTGAATTAAAAATAAATACATTTTTATCAACAATTGATCGTAATTGTGAATCGACACAAATTCAATTAATAATCGAGATTATCCGACTATTGAACTTGCAGTTTCGATCCGTGGAATCGTCAATATGCTTATATACTTAGGTGAAGATAAACTTTGAGCATGTATCCGAAACTAGCGGGAATAGTACGCGTGACCTAACACTACCTTCCCTACTTCGATACCATACTCGAACAATGCCCTTACAATTGGGCCGGATTTGTCCTTTTTCCTAACGTTAACATAAACCGAGCAGACCAAATTCAATTATTAGTTTTTATTTAAAATTGACCTACAACCGAAACCAACGAGAATAGTACCCTTGACCTAACACTACATTCTCCACCCTGATGACACTCGGGCTATGCCCTTACAATGGTGACTTATAATTACGATGTTTGTTTAGATCAAAAAATATATTTTTATTCAGTATATATATGTCTTTTAGATTTCTTATATATATATTCTTTTTCTTTTTTATTAATTTTTTGAAGTGAATTATGCCAAAATACTTATTAACTTTGGGTGCACAATGCAATTTAGCCATATAAAAAACTCTTATAGACTATACAAACCCCACCTCAAAACCTTGAAGAAAATATCCTAAATTTGGTACTAGTACTAACACACCCATCATTTTCTAAAAAAATAAAATTAATAATAAATAAATTAAATTAAAATAAATAAATAAATTAAAATCCAAATCACCTCCGAGTAAGTACACGTTCTTAAACCCTGTTGAACCCACCCACCTCCACTATATATATCTATATTCAATAACTCTATCCACCATAAATATCTTATTGATTTTCGAGTTATATTTTGCCGATATATATACACACACACACACAGTCACACACTTTTGTAGGTGATAAATATAAATCGATCATCTTTGTGAAATTACAGAAAAGGCGTTGATTAATAGGATGAAAATTCAGTGCAACGTTTGCGCGGCGGCGGAGGCCAGCGTGTTCTGCTGCGCCGACGAGGCGGCGCTGTGTTGGAGCTGCGATCAGAATGTTCACGCCGCCAACAAACTCGCCGGAAAACACCAGCGCGTTCGTCTCTCTAGCTCCTCTACCCAGATGCCCAAGTGCGATGTTTGCCAGGTTTAACTAATATTAATTCTTTTTTCTTTTTTTTTTGGTTCCCAATTTTTCTTTTTCTAATATACTGTAGATTTCAATTTGTTTTATTCATTAACTTTGTTTTCTCTGCATAGTTGCAAAACCTGATATTTTGATTTTTTCGGTGTAAATTACGAGAAGCCCCCTGAACTTATGCTAAATAATGAAAAACACCCACTTATTCGTAATTACAAAAACCCCTGAAGTTTGAAGTTTGTTTCCGTCTTACACTAACTTTACACAATTTCAATTTTTTTTATTTCTCACAATTTTAACAGAAGTCTATAATAGACTGTACACTTTCATTAAAAAACTCGATCCACGGTTAATCGACGCGGATTTTGGTAAAGAGGGTGTTTTTCGTTATTTAGCCTAAGTTCAAAGGGGGGTTTTGTAATTTACTTTTTTTTTTCTTTTTTTTTAAATTTCCTGGATATAGTGTTTTGGTGTGGTTTGAGGCTATCTTGATTCTCTTTGGTTTACAATAGTGTAGCCCTACTTAGTAAAACTAAAATAAGCATACAAGTTGGTGTTTAATTTGGTCACTTGATTTGTGGGATTTCTAATTTTCAATTGTTATCTACTAGCAAACATTAGCGGCGCCCGGATTTTAATTCCGGGGGCCAAATACATTAAAAAATTCTAGGAGGGGCCGTTATTGCTATTATACAAGATTTTTTTTATATTTCTATGTAAAATAATAGGGGTTTGGGGTTTGAGAAATGTTGGGGGGGTCATGGCCCCCCGGCTCTATACTTAGCAAAGGTGATAATTAAAGACAACAACAATCTTACTCTTGTATGGTTTCTTACGCGTGTCGTTACATTTTTTTTCCTTTTTTAATAGGAAACAGCAGGCTACTTCTTTTGCGTAGAGGACCGAGCTTTACTTTGCCGAAAATGTGACGTGGCTATACACGCATCGAACTCCTTAGCGTCGGTGCACAAGAGGTTTCTGCTCACGGGAGTCAAAGTTGACCTAGAAGCCACCGAACCTCGTAAAACATCATCTCTGGAGAAAACGAGCACTACCGATTGTAAAACCTCGGAATTCGAGCCGCCGCCGACTCTTTCAAAGAGGACCAGTTACCAAGCTAGTGTATGCGGCGGTAATAATAATAATAATTCATCATCTTCGTTGAAGCCGCCGCCTCTCGCCGGAGGCTCGTCCTCGGGAAGTGTTCCGCAGTGGCAGTTGGATGAATTTATCGGGCTCGGCGATTTCACTACTCAAGGTTATAATTTCACGAACGTTGCCTCGTCTAAGGTATATATTGATTTATTCACGGAAATTGCATTTAGTACCCCTAGGTTATATCGGATTCGGATTGCTGAAAAACTCCGTGTTACTAATATTAGCAAAAACCCCATTTTCTTAGCACACAACTACCTAAATAGTGAGTTTTTATCGAGCATCTTAAAAAAAATTGAATCGTAGGGGGTTTTTGCTATTAAAATAACACGAAGAGCTTTTTTCCGCAATTGGAGAAAACACAAGGGTGTTGAATGCAATAAATGCTATTTCTTTCTAACACAAATTGAATTCAAATTGGAAACGCTTTCTTCAACAATCCTAACACGCTTGTCTGAATTTATCTCCCCGGCAGGCGGAGAATGGGAACCGCGGAGTTTCAGATTGCTTCGAAATTCTACGAGCTGGCGGTGATGGTGAATTAGAGGGGGATGAAAACTTAGGTCAAGTGCCGTCGGCAACATTCTGGGCTGTGCCAGAAATACCCTCTCTACTACCCACATCATCTGCCCTTTACTCGCCTAAAATTTACCAAAATACCCTCGACTCGTCTGTCTTTGTGCCCGACATGGATTACCATAATAATCAATCACACATTGCGAGCTCGAAACGGAGGAGGAATTTCTGATGTATATATATCCCTTCGAGTGTTACTTCTACTACGAAAAAGGACGGTACTTTAGGGTAGATATAATATTTTTTTCTTTCTTTTTTCGAAGTTTAGGTATGTGTTTGGATAATTAAATAGTTTCATATGTATGTATAGCTTATGGTTGCAACATGAATATGAGGATGTATTATATAGTGTGATGCTATTTAGGATATGATGATGTATTAGGGCCTCTTTCGTTTGCATTATTACTCATGATGGGATGAATTGTACTCCGGTATACAACGTTTGGTTTGCTTGAAATACCATTCTTGACAAGTGCCCCCACCAATATAATCACTCAATTGAATTATTAATAGTCAAACCAAAATTGGCTTGACAACTTATCGCATCTTCAATTCCAACATCTAACCCAGGTGAATTATCGAAAATGTCCTTCAATAATACAACAATTACGAAATTAACAAATATAAATACTTCAGATCTTCAATTCCCCTATCAAAGATCTCAAGTTTTTTACAGGTAAGAATCCAAAGTTCATGCTCTTTTCAATCTTCCATTTTTTACTTTGTTTTGGTGCTTAATTCCTTCAATTTTACCATAAAACCCTCTAAGTTTCTAGTATTTTTCTGTAACGGGAGGTCTCTGAATTTTGAAACTAGGTCGGAGGAGGAGACGGAATCGATTTAACTGGGTTTTTTTAGGGCTTTTTCTGCGACGATTTTTTCTAATTGGCATTTTTTCATTGCTGGTGTTGTTTTGTTGTTGGGTGATAGATCGGAAGAATTTTTGGTGTTTGTGGAGTTCGAAGATGTTTTCTTTAAAGTGAAATTGAGTTTCTTTAGTGGGGTTTTAATAATAGTGGTTGAGTCTAATGAAACTTGTCTTGGTCTTGTTTTTTGATGATGCATTAGATGGGAGCTTAATCAGCTTAGTCTGGTTCTTGAGTCCGCCATTAATGGTGGTTTTGATTAACTTTGTTTGGTTCTTTGATGGAGTTGCAGTGGGCTTAATGAGTTTGGTTTTGTTCTTGGTTGAAAAAGTTTTTTTTGCCATTGAAGAAAAAGAAGAAGAAGTGGGTTTTTTCTTGATAGTGATTGGCTGACTACTTTCACCATCATCTTTTAAATCTAACAACATTCTTGAAATCTTTTGTGGCTGTTGTTGGTTTTGATTGGCAGAAGAGATAGAATGTTGAAGTGAGGAAAATTAGCAAAATTAGATAGAGCAAAAGTACCTTCTTTGGAGAGGAGTACACAACTACAAGTTGAGCCATTTTTTTTTTATTCTTGAAAATGTGGTAACGAAGACTTGAAAATCCAATCTATGTCTGTTTGTTTGTATTTTTTGGAGATCTACGGGAGGCCCTTAAGATGAAATTTGTATGGGAATTTTTAGTATATCCATCGTATACAGCCTTTTGTGCGAGTTTTTTTAATGTGATTGTAACTATAATTTTGTATTTACTATTATTCTTTGTGTTTGCTATATTTATCAACATCAAACATCAAATATATTTTAAGGGCAACACAGTAATTTTGCCAATAAACCCACATAAAACAGTTTGGTCAAGCAAACAAAACATGATATTGTTAGTGTAAAGATTATTAGTTTCAGTCATATAACTCCAACCAAAAAAGATATTAATTATTATGAATCAGCAGTTTAGTCCAACATTACATATCCCATCCATAGCTATCTATCCAAACTGCCCAACCAAAAAGGCCCTTATAATATGGTTTGTAAGCATACGAGAGATACGAGAGTGTAGGCTTATTCAGTGTACCTATATGGTTAGCTATCGATTCCTTCATTACTCAAAAACAAAAAAAAAAAAGTAATGAATCAGTTATTTTCAACACGTGTGTTTTTCACTTGCTTTGCTCTCTATAAACTCGAATAGTTACTCTAATTCCGCCAATTTTGAATATGAATGTATCCAATTATGTAACAATACTTCTCTTCCCGAATTTTGAAAGTTCCGATCTCCGTTTATTTACGAGTATATATTATGTTTCAATTTCCAATCTGATTTTGAATTCTGAAATCCCAGTTTTTCTTTCTAAATATTATACTTATACAATATATTTTAGTAATTCTTATATTATAGGCGACTGAAAATGAAAAATCTCAAATCATGCCGAATCTAAGTTGAAAAAGTTAGATTTTGGAACTAGTTTTTCGTTCTATAAGAATTTTTCCGAAATGTAATTGGAATTGGTTTCTCAATTAAAAAAAATCATTATTTTTTTTTTCTTTTCAAAAAAATATAGCAATAATAATTTGGAGGGAAAATTACATTTTTGAACACTCGAGTTTGCACTAATTTCACATTTGACCCCTCATGATCACAAAAAATACATTTGGTATCTCATGTTTCAAAAATTAAACACTTTTAGTCATTTCCGTTAATTTTATGTTAGTACTAACGGAATCAACTACGTACCCACTGCCTTAACTATCCAACTAACGGTGAATTGACAAAAAAGGACAAACGTGTTAAATTATTGAAACATGACTAGTTACATGAGGGACCAAATGTGTTTTTTCTAAACATGAGGGACCAAATGTGAAATCATTGCAAACTTAAGGGGTAAAAACTGTAATTTACCCTTAAGTCGGACAAATGAAAATTGGGGGAAGTAATCACATACTATGACCCCCACAGTAGACTATAGTGCACCTTCTTATCCGCTTCAATCCTATCTTTTTATCTTCCCACAAAAAATTGCGCAGGCACACACGGAAACAACAGAGAGAGCAAACAGAGAGAAAATCCCCACCCATGGCAATGGCCTGCGTCACTTCTTCTTCCTCCTTATTCTCCACGAAACCCTTATCCTCCTCCCTCAACAAAACCCCCTTCCTCGGATTCTCGCTCGCCGTTTCATCCACACCGTCCGTTCAATCCAATCGTGCGTTCAAGATCTGCTGCCAAGATAAAGCCGCTCTCATCCCTTCCGGCCAGCAATGGATGTTCGACGATCTCACTGGACCTGTAAGAAATATCAATTTTGTTTCAATTGCAAATAAATTGTTTTATTTTATTTTTTGAATTTTTATTTATGGGATAATGCTGGTCCATTTCTGTAATTTTAAATGTTAAGAACGAACTAGGGCACTTTTATTACTTGCTTAGGTCGTGTTTGCAAAAGCTTATTTTAAAAGCGGAAATTATAGATTACGAGTTAAGTTGATTTTTAAGTGCTTATTTCTAAAAGTTGGGGGTGTTTGCAAATTAACTGGAAAATCAACTAAAATAGAAAAAACAGGTGCATAGGTGCTTTTAAAATTATAGCTTAAAACAGCTTATTTTAAGAGAAGTTTTTTGCAGACGCCTAAAAACAAATTATGTGCTGAAAAAAGCTCATAATCTATTTCTAAAAGCATTTGCAAACACCACCTAAAAGCAAAAGCAAAAGCTCATTTTGCAAACACTTAAAAAATAGATTACGTGCAAAAAAAAAGCTCATAATCTATTTGTAAAAACTTTTGCAAACACCACCTTAATGTAAAGTTTTGGAACTGGATTTATTTGCTATTGCAATGCCCTATGAAAGTTAAAGAATGTGTTCGACACGTTGAACTGTTAACTGATAATTACTTCGATAATCGCATGGTGTTTCGTATTTTACTTATGTACTCTGTCGATATTTGAAAGCTGTGTTATCTCAATAAGTATATGGGAGTTATCTGAATGGACAGTGAAAGAATGAACTCACTCTCGGCCCGAAATTTTATTTTCCGAGAAACGGCTTAGTATGTGAATGTGGTTGAAGTTCTTTAAAGTCAAGACGGTATAATATATATATATATATATATATATATATATATATATATATATATATATATATATATATATATATATATATATATATATATATTATACTTACATTTGCTTCGTATTGCAGGACGTTTGGAATAAAACATGGTACCCGAAAGCAGCGGACCATGTAAACACAGATAAGCCGTGGTATGTAGTGGATGCAACAGACAAGATACTAGGAAGACTCGCTTCGACGATCGCCATTCATATCAGGGGAAAGAATCTTGCCACATATACCCCTAGTGTCGACATGGGAGCATTTGTTATAGTGGTACGTTCTTTCGTACATTGAAAAGAAAAAAAAATCATTTTTTTTGGGAGTTTATGAAAATCGAAAATCCTGCGTAAAATAAACGATGCCCCGGAAAAACCTTTTGTATAAGTTAAGATGCTGTACACGATCCATTATTATAATATAGTGCGTGTATTGGTATTCTTCGAATAACGTATTTCTTATATGCTGGTACTTAGTCTAACATTTCGTTGATTCTGTGATGGCAAATGTGTAAATAGGTCAATGCCGATAAGATTGCTGTATCGGGAAAGAAAAGGACGCAAAAACTCTACCGAAGACACTCGGGTAGACCTGGTGGAATGACAGTCGAAACTTTCGAGCAGCTTCAGAAAAGAATTCCCGAAAGAATTGTCGAGCATGCTGTTCGTGGGATGCTTCCTAAAGGAGCCGTAAGATTCCCTCTACTTTATGCAAGCAAATTGAAAAAAATATATATAAATATATATTTAAGCATTTTAATTTTCCCGTGTTTATTGCAGCTTGGAAGAGCGTTGTTTAACCATCTTAAGGTTTACACGGGTCCCGATCACCCACACGTGGCTCAAAAGCCGAGTGAGCTGCCCATAAGAGACAAGAGGATAACAAAGCAGAAATAGACGACGAATTTGTTAGATTTTTTTTGTATGTTTATATGTATTCTGTTTTTCGAAGCAACATCCGTAAAAAAATTAACCAATTTTTCTGCGGCTTTAATAGTCGAACTCCACTAGAATTTCATGTATGCTAATGATGTAAGTTTCGAGCATGTTGTGTCATTTTTCCATTTTCATCATTGTTTTCTTTTCCTTGTATGTTCCCGATTATGAATTCCGTCGATTTACATTCGAAAATTTTCAGGTTTTGGTACGATATTTGTCATTCCGAAATCTGAAAGTCCCGATTCCTGATTTGTTTTTTTGGAAACGAATTCAAATACAGTAGATTTTGATTTTTCATTCGATTTTAATTTTTCGAAAATATTTCCGTAAAAAATCCGAATTGTTTGTTCTTCTGAAAATTACATTTATAAATTATAATATCAATATTATTATGTATTTTGTATTACATAATAATATTGATTGGAATTTCTAAATTCCAAAAGATTCGGATCTGAAAATTTTCGACTTTGGAACGGGTTCTTCATTTGCAAAATTTTCGACTTTTTTGTAACGGAATCGAAATTGCAATTTTTCTGAAAGTGCTATTTTACGATCGATCCAATTCTTCGAATTTCAACCCTCGATTTTTGGTCCAATGAAGAGAGCTCAAATCATTACATGAATTCCTTAAAACTGAATTCTTTATTTAATTCTCATTTCCCTCCAAAAAAGAAAAAAAAAGGACATACTTTTCTTAGCTCTTGAGGAGAAGTGTGTACAAGAGCTGATTCCAGGTATCGGGTACACCGGCAACGCACCAATGGCTGCAATCGAGGCCTTTGCCAGCATAAATCGAAGGGTGTCCGTCTTTTCTTAATTGAGTCATCAAACTTATGTCGAGCAAAAAAGCCGGTTTCTTCATATTGCTCAACACACTTCTCACCACTGGATCTCCCTGAGGTTTGATTCCCGGATAATCCGACCCGTTTATCGGTTTCGTTTGTCCTCTACAATCCTTCACGCTCGGTTCGTTCCAATCTGACCCTCTGGCACACACATTTACAATGAGAATCTGAAGTAGATAAGATTAATTATGCGACTCAAAAAAAAAAAAACTGTCGGAATCGTATAAACAAGGTCTATTTAGGGGTGGAAATCAGACGGATCAGATCGGAATATGCACTTTTGGAAAAAATCCAGTTTTTCTTTCTTAAGTGAAAATAATGTTGATATTTAAAGCGTCATTTTTCGGGAAAAAAGAAATCGATTTTTTTGGAAAATGGTTTTGAAATAAAAATGGTATCGTAATTCAGAATCTAATATGTATTCCAATTCTATTCCAAATGAAGAGGGGAAAAAAACCGTCAAATCGAAATTTTCGAAATTCAGAATAAAGGATTATAATTTTTCTAACATTGTAAATTACTCGGATCGAAATCAGCGTAATTCAGAATAAAAGATTATAATTTTTCTAACATTGTGAATTACTCGGATCGAAATCAGCGTAATTCAGAAATTTTGTTCTAATACCCAACCTTTCGTTCATTATATGCAAAATCACATATGTTCATATATATATATATATATATATATATATATATATATGTGTGTGTGTGTGTGTGTGTGTGTGGATTAATGATAGCATAAATAAGAGCTTACTTGTAATGAACGGTCGAGATTCCTTGGAAAAAGACTCGGGTTTTGGCGGGGTCGATGTTGGAATCGACCCAGTTAGCCCAAGTAGTTAAAGCTGTCTTGTAGGCTTCCATAACATCCATGTCTTTAAATATCTGGTTGCCAATCTGGTAATTGTCCCACCTGGAATAAAACAACGTTCGTAAGCATACTCGATTTTTTTTACGTTTTTAAGTGTACGTGTGTGTATGCATATATAATTCTAATTCCAATTCGGAAAAAAAAAACAATTAGATAAAAATGGACTTACGTTCTAAGGCGCCCAGAGTGCAACCACCAGTGGTAGCTGTTGAAGATCAAGACATCGGCTCCTGTCCAAAGACCGGTTCCAACGAGAGTGTCGAGTTTCAGCGTGCGGTTCGTTAGGCTCACGAAGAATCCATTTTTCACGAACATAACCGACATTTCATATTCCTTACAAAGTAAAAGATCAAGAAAAATTTAGCTTCATTTTTTTCAATTATACACACATGTATGTATATATACTGTATATAATAATCGTATAATAGCTTGCAAATCACAGCGAGATGTAAACTACACTAGGCTAACCATGCATGATAAACTCGATCTAGCAACTGTTGACAAGGAGATTCGAACTTGAGTCAATTGAGACAAGCTTACTTGCTGCAACCGCTAGGCCATCCCTTGCGGGACAAGTCACATGTTTTATGTTACCATTACACATGGATGATGATATTATTAGTATTCACGTGATATGTATTGACATAATAATTTTAGAAAGTTTTTTATTTTAATTTGCGGAAGTGAATAACCGAACTCTGAAAATTACGGAAATTGAAAAGATTTTGAAAAGAAATAAAAACTTCATCAACAATTCAAAGAATTGGTAATTATTTAAAATGATTAGACATAATCAGAATCGACGTAATTTGAAATTGTTGCTCCGATGGGCAATTTTCTCTAGTGTACCTACTTAGTTTCTTCGATTTTCACCTATGTAGTACGGACAGGGGAATGCGGCCACGGGGAAACAGGGAAATGGATGGACACGAGGAAACTCCGTTTTCCAAAGAGTTGGATACAGGAACGCGAGGGAAACGCATAAATAGTAAAAATATAGGGGTGCATTCGTAATTCTAAAAATATTATAATGTTTAATATCATTGCACAAATTACATTCAGGACATATAAATTTATTTTAGTATGGAATTAACATCTACAAAAATATTAAAACACCACTAGAAGTGAAAAGGAGGCATAGTATTTAAGATTTTTCTAAGCGTATGCAATTCGGAGTTTTTATTTAAAATAAAATTTGGATTTATGTTGCGTCGAAACACATTTCCCATTTTTTATTATTATCAGAAACGTCCCTGAATTTTTTAAATATTTATAGAAACCGCCCCAAAACGTTTCCGACAGGTGTCATGGAGTTTCAGTTTTCGAAACGTTTCCGAAACGTGAAAACGCGTGTGGATTGAAGTTTCCGTGCATTATAGATTTTCACCGAGTAAAATGTACCAAGTATGCCGCGACTATTATTAAGTTCTAGGAAAGTATACACATTTATCGCAAAAAAAAGGTGAAATAATTAAGAGGGGCAAAAAGGTAAATACCAGAAAGGAAAGGGTGGTGAGCGGTCCTCGTCTAGTCAAGGTATAATTGGCGTTTGGGAGTAGGGCAGCATGAAGCATGCACGCCAGCGATTGCCACTGGTTTGAACTCAGTGAGTCACCCACGAACATTACCTTTTTGCCCCTATATCTTTCTAGAAATTCCTTCCCATCAAACCTGTAAACCAGATATATATATTAATTGTTTTACTTTAATAGTTAATGCCTTGCAAATTTATTATTATTGTATTATGATTTATGAATAATATCAAAATACTATTCTCTCTCTTTCGAATTAACTGTCGTTTTAGCATTGCACAAGTATTAAAAGTTTAATAAATGTGTCTCGATTTTAGGAAAAATATATTAGAAAGACTGAAATAACCTTCATGATTTAATGATGTGATAAGAGTGAAATCATACTTAGAATTGAATTAATAAGGTTAAAAACTGGAAAAAAATGCATTTAATACAGTATTCGAAATATAAAATGATAGATAATATAAAACAAAATATATATTTTTTAAATAATTATTATGGAATAACAAAGACAATATTTATTGCTCTGGTTGGTATATATATATAGGTGTGTCATGAATTCTCATATCACACAATATTAACTACATATGTGTGTGTTTTCAAATTATTATTTGACAGCTTTTATAAATTTATAATGTATTATTATGAAGAAATTAAAATAATACTTAACATTTAATATTTGGATTACAGATAGATAGATGCATACAATATATACATGCAGGCTGCAGCAACAAAATATTATCCAGAGGTGGTTAAAAAAAAATAAAAAAATCATGCAGAATTTTTTTTTAGAAAAAAATAATATCTCAGAGTATTTAAATAGTAAGAAATTCTCTAAATATAATAATAGGTGTTTTAAATTGTAAAAGAAAAACCTAAAAAGAAAAAATAAAAAATTAAATAGCTAAAACACATGAAAAATAACAAGTCCACATGTGTTTAACAGTGAATGGGGCCATGGCCCCCACAGCCAAACTCCACCACATCGAAATCTCCTTCACACAAGAAGTAAAACATATTAACATAAACTACTACTAAATACAGAGAGAGAGAGAGAGAGAGAGAGAGAGAGAGAGAGAGAGAGAGAGAGAGAGAGAGAGAGAGAGAGAGAGAGAGAGAGAGAGAGAGAGAGAGAGAGACATTTATACTGAAGATAAAGTTTATCAGTCCTGCCATTTATCAGACAGTTGAGGCCAGGATTGATAAAAGGGCAGTGAGAAGAATCATAGAGTGGATCGGTTCAGACATATCTTTCACTCATCTCCCCGGAGA